AGAGAGAGAGAGAGAGAGAGAGAGAGAGAGAGAGAGAGAAAGAGAGAGAGGTGTACAGCATCCCAACAGAAAGACCGAGATACTCCATAGAAATTTTCTTTTCACTCGGGAATCGAACTCAGGTCTTCTGTGCGCGACGACGAAGCGCTAACAGTGATCGTACATTACAAGAAAGTTCACTCTGCCAAAAAGTGTCCGCGGAAGTCCGCGCATTAGTTCAGATTTCGCTGCAGTCTTTGTTTTGAAGCTCTCTTTTGTTTCTCCAGAAGAAGAATAGGAATAGTACAGTTTGTTGGTTTCACTTTTTTGGTTTTCATACAAGTAGGGTAACTCTGTTAGCAAAGTCCGAAGAGGGAGCCGACCGGATTATGAGGACACTTTTTAAATTGCCTCAAAGAGAGGAGTGAACTATCTTGTTACGTACGATCTTTGGGGCTTACCACCTACAACACAAACGCCACTCCCGAATTCTTGACCGCGTTCACTTAACAGAGCTAACCTTTGTTAACCCTATCCGTACGCCCTGGAGTCAGTTTGTACCTCCGGGGTTGTATTCTTCACATTTTAGAATACTTGTAGTATGAAGATCTCTTTGAAACTTTCAGTCAGTATTTCTCGAAAAATCATTTTGACAGACTGCTATATGCCAAGCGTACAGCTCGGATTAACGAGTAAATTTCCTCTTTGGAAAGTGGTGGCACAGAGTTCCCCAGGTCGTATGGATACGATAGTAAAACACGACGTACGGATTAGGGTTAAGTGGTGGCAGAGTTCCCCACGTCGTATGGATACGATCGTAAAACACGACGTACGGATAAGGTTAAACGCGTGGTGTGATCTGGTTGGAATTTTTGACACATACCGAGGAAAAGACGACATAGTCCTGAACGACGAAGCGCCATAGCGAGCCGAAAGTGATGTCTGTATCAACAGAAGCGGCTTCCTTCCGTAAGCTTTCAAGTCGTGGTGGGAAGGAAGAAGGATGTGCTCATTTAAATATATATATAGGTATGACCTGTCGTGTAGGGGACACAGTGGCAATATGTCGCCTACTGACAGACAGCTCATCTGTGTGAGAAGGGGTGGGTTGGGGTGTGGAGGTGTGGGGAGGGGAACGGGATTCATTATGTGTGACTGTGTGGGTGTGAGTGTGTATATAATCATTTTATTTTGTGCGTGTGGGTGGGTGGGTGAGTATGGGGTGGTGGGTGGGTCGTGTGTGTGTGTGTGTGTGTGTG